ATGAACAAATCGAAACAAAATAAAAGTTTTTGAATTTTTAGTTGATGATCACATCCATATTAGGTAACCCAATGTTTTATTCTTATTGCCGATTTTACTATTTATGGAATGACTAGGAAATATCACATGACAAACCAATTTTTATTGCATTTTTGATTGGAAATTTTTTCCCAAAATTCGTCGTCGTGGCGCAGTAAGTTGCGGGGATTAGGTGTCCTGCACTGTAATTATTTGAAAAAAGAATGGATAAAAAGAGAAAATGGAATTATCCACTTCAGAAAACCAAATATTTCACCATTCGTTTTTGAAATTATTTTAAAGTTTGTATATTTATTTTTTATAAAGTTATTTCGCTTTTCTTCTGTAAGGAAAGTCTCGCCAATGTATATATATATAATATACATGCTTTTATTAATAGGTTTATTTATGGAGGAAAAATCATGTTTGATGAAGAAGAGAAAGAACCTTTGATAATATTTGAATGCCTGATGGCAGCCGATGAATTATTATTGGACGAGTTTATTGATTACACACAAACGTTATTACTAAATAAACATATCCAATGGCTTAAAGACAACCTTCCCATAATCTTCCGTATTACTTTTAACACAAATGCATTAAAGAAATTACAAGATTTCTGTTTAGATCATATTCGCAAATATCCTAATCTGTTATTTGACTTGGATGAATTTTTATTATTGCCAGAAGATTGCTTGGAACAATTATTAAAGGATGATGAATTAGAAATGGAAGAAATGGTGATTTGGGAAAAATTGGTACAATGGGGGTATCAATAGAATTATTACAACTACTGGTACTAATAATAATGATAGTAGTGATAGTGTTGGTAATTGTTACTATGGATTCACTAGTAATAATAATAATAATACTTACAATAATGATAATGATAATAATGATGATGAAAATGATATTAATAATAATAACAGTATTACTACAATCATTACTACTACCACCAATAACTTATCAAAAGATATAAGTAAATGGAGTTCAGAAAATTTTAAAAGATTTGGGTTAATAATCCAAAAATGTGCTAAACATGTTAGATTTTATTATATGAATTCTAATTACTTTCTAACAAGAGTTAAGCCTTTCAAAAAATCATTGGGTGAATTCTATGATACAATGGAGAAATTTCATTTGCCCATCATCTCCAATAATGCAGTCACCAATAGTTCTCCTTTAACAACAAAGGAATTCACATCATCATTGACAATTTATCGACCAAAATATCTTACAATTTTGCCATATCGTGGAGTGTACACCATGCAATAACTATAGCCTCATGGATAGATAAAATGGATTTAACAGGTAATAATAATGGTGGTGTAGATAATCATAACACTAATAATATTGCTACTACTAGTAGTGCTACCACCACCACTAATAATAATGTTGATTATTCATATCCAATTAATCAGATACCATATGAATTTAAATTATTGATAAGAGGTAGTAGAGATGGGTTTTCATCATCAACATTTCATAAACATTGTGATAATGTTGTTGGGACAATAACACTTGTAAAATTACAAGATTCTGAATATTTTGTTGGAGGTTATAATCCAAATATATGGACATCTCATTTATGGCCAAGGTTCAATTATAATACCGATTCTTTTATCTTTAGTTTCATACAAAGTGGTGGTGGGCTAAGTAAAAGTTTCCTTGATGACAGTAATGGCAATGAAAATGATAATAACAATTGGAATAATAATGGTGGTAAAATAGCAAGAATAGTTGAGTCAGATCACAAGTATGCTTTAAATTATTGGAGATCAATTGGACCTTCATTTGGTAAATTTGATTTACTAATGGAAAACAATATTATCAAATTTAAACATAAAAGCTATCATCCAAACATTATGCCAATTGATAATGGGTATGCTAGAATTGAAGATTATGAAGTGTTTCAAGTGGTTAGGAAAGCTACTGTCTTGTCTCCCTCATCTTCAACTATTATTAATGCTAATTCTACATCTACTGATAGTAATAATAGTATCATTAGCATTAATAATAATAATAATAATGATAATAATGATAATGATAATGATAATAATAATAATAATAATAATAATAATAATGATAATGATAATAATAATAATAATAATAATAATGGATTTGGTAGTAATAGTGTTAGTAATTTTATTTATAATATTTATCTTGGTAGTGATATTATTCTTAATAACATGTTGTTAGACACTGAAGGTTATTGATTGACTGTGATTGATTGATTGATTGGGGAGATAAAATATATAGAGATAGAAAACTTCTTATTATTTACTATAGACATTATATAGATTATTTGTTTATACTAGAGATAATATTTATTATTTAATTAAGTTTTAATCTAAAATTTATATAATTTTATAATTTAAAAATCCCACATGTTTGTTTAATAAATCACCTATTTTCTGTAAAGGTTCATGTCTTTCCAATTATTCATTTTCATTCTCCCAACATTCTTTACTGATAATTGATAATCTTTAATACTATTCCCATTGTCTTTAATAAAATCACTACTAATAAATCTAAAATTTATATATTTGGTAATAAAATATTTATATTGTATATACTTTGTTGAAATTAAATTTGAATACATTGTTTTTGCCAATTAGTAATTATCTAGTATTAGGTATTATTACATTACAAAACTTATAAAAACAACTTTATGATCTTTAGCTTCTTCCTTTTGGTGAGCATTATAGTGTAAATCATCTTTAAAATGCTGACAAGTATCACACAAGTCAGTCCTTGGACTCATAATTTTCTAAAGGCATCATATTTTAAGGATTTCAAATTACTATTTTCTTCCAGACTAGCTAGAAAGTCTCTGTGCACTGATTTATAGCTCACTTCAGCTGATAAGAATACAATTGATTGAGTTATTCTATTATTACTTCTTCCTGGACTTGGTAATCCATGGACTTCTGCATAATTTTCCAGAAAATTCTTTACTACTTCTGCAACATGTTAATATTACCATGAATTCTTGGTAAAAGACCATTGTTTATCAAATGATTTCTAATGTTTTCAAAATAAGTCCTAACATATTAAGATAAGTTTCTTGACAAAGGAGTGTATTGTGATCCCAATGGTAGAAAGTTCTTTTATTAGATCTGGTTTTCTTTTCCCTATTACTATTAATAATGTGTAATGGCAACAAAAAATTTTAAAATCCGTTGAAACGCGAATTTAATTATAATCCGTTGAAACAAGGGTTATATTGTACCGACCAGTTACACATTAAAAATACTCGTGTTTAATGTCGAGACACAATAAGATATAAGGACCAAAAACCAAATCGGCTGATATGAATCTTTAAGTTTTTATATCTTCAATTGGAAAACCTTCCTGGATGAAGTAATTTCACCTTATTTCCCAGAATAGTTTAAAGAAAAATCTTGAATTAAAGGGAATACGTCCATACTTAAAGTTCCTTGATATATATCTCAAATATCTTTTGGGCCTAATGAGAGGAAAAAATAATAGGTTACGACATCACTTTCAAATAACCTCCTCCCGACTTCTATTGAAAGATATACGTTACTAGTAGGAAATTTTTTTAAAAAAAGTTTCAAACAGCAACAAAGTATTTATAATACAATTCGTGTTTTCAGCATAGTGGAAGCTTCCATTGAATAAATATGTTCTTTTTGTTATTTTTCAAAGGACCTAGATTGGTTTGGTTTTTATCCCCTCATTCCATTCACTTCACTTTGCTGAATATAAGTCAGTCACTTAATTACAAGCAACCTATAATAATTCGGTACTTGTCAATTAATTAGTTTACGAATTTACTTTTGGTTCTCGATTAATGCACCTGTGGGCACACTTAATGGTACCAAGTAACTGTAAATAAATAAAAGATGGCCTTTTGCAAAGCTCAAGGGCCTCGATTTATTTCAGTCGTTTACATTTATTGGTCTATTGCAAACTCGCTTTGGTTTGCTTGCAAACCAACTTAAGTAGCTTATTTAACAGCCTTACGTTTACGATTACAATAATATCACCATTAACCTTTGGACGATACTTCATTAACACTCACCAGTTAACCAACGTTAGTCCCAACTCACTAAAGCAAATTATGTCACTGATCGTTGTTAATACTCACTAGTTAATCCTAACCTTGCTCACTCACCAAAGCAAATAAAACGTGGCTTTTTACCAAAGCTCCATAATTGTTACTTCTTACCAAGGAACTACGCTTGTTGCTTTTATCAAAGCAAAGCGCTTTAAACAAAGACAACGGTTTTATTTTTATTTTTGAAAGCTTATTAACGTTTAATAAAAATAATGACTCTATCATAGGGTTTATTTTATTAGAATGTTAATTATCTATTATTTTCCTTTGCGAAGACCAGAAGTTATTCTTAATGATCACTCAATAAGGAAGGATAAAGATAAAAATGGAAGATTAAATGTTTATTATTGCAAAGTAACTTAATCAATCAATTTTGATATTATAAAAACTTCTATAATTAATTATAAAAAGCTTTTGCGTAAAAATTTTCATTACTACAATTAGTTGATCCTGGAACATAAAGCACACAATTATACGAATCTCCCAATCAATCATGTATCACGTTATTAATAAGAAATGTTCGAGTTTAGTAATGGAATGAGCGTGTGGGATCTGGATTTGTATTCAGCGAAAGAAAATTTGGCTCCTTGGAACCAACTGATGAGATTGGGATACACAAGAAAAATATAAAAATAAAAAAAAAATATCACGAACTATTTTTGATGCAGGTCATCCTTTAAAAATAGAGGATATGTTTTATCATCATCTGGGAAAGGTTAAATTGTTTATTACTTTATTATACAAATTACCCATGATTTGTTTTTACCACGATAAAAACTATAATAAACATAATAATAAATGAACATATACAATTAGCATATTAATAATATTAAATATTAATATATGGGGTACTATATTATTCTTTTAGAAGAAAAAATTATATTAATGTTTAAAAAATTAAATTATAAATTATAAAAATAATCAAGGATAATAAACAATAAATTCTACTTTAATTATTATTAGTGAATATTTTTTATGCATAAAATTAATATCATTAAATTATCAGAAGACAAGAAAATGATGAAATGATGAATGAAAATTTGAAGAAAGCGAAGGAAGGAAGTTATAGTTGAATGAAATGAATTCATTTTTTATTTGCTTTTTAGAACAATTGGCACTACAAAAAAATTTGATTGATTAAGCCAGTTAATAAAATATGTTACTTATATTTTTCTCCAGTATAATATAATTGATATTACTTACAAATAATAACCAATAATAAAATGATTATAGTGATAGCAATAATAATTCTCATTTTCATATCTTTCCACCACATTTGTTTCCGTACTTTATTTGCTCCACGACGAAATCCTTGTGCTGATACTGACAAATTTTCTATTTTACAAAAGAAATATAGTGAGAAGATATTACTAGTAGTCATTTAAATTATTTAGCAGTTTCTTATAAATTCTTACCGCTCTTATTTTGCAAAACATCTAATTTCTCTCCTCTGTCAGAAACAGTTTTAATGTTGTCGCGCATAATTCCTACTGTCTCGTCAATTTTCTTTTGAATTTCTACAGTTTTTGAAGGTGGACCGCCAGCGGCGCCCTCCTTAGGTACATATGGATCATATGGTTCAGACCTATTGAAAAAAAGATTATTAATGTCATTAAATGATGATGGTGATTAGGTCAATGAACAATTCTTTTCCGGTTCAAACTGAAACTAATTAATATTTATTGATTGTTCAAATTTCAAAAATGTTTGTTTTCTTAAAACTTTATTCCAAATATATAGTTATAATAATAATACGTACATTATAAAATATTTTTATTATCTCAGTGGTTGGAGAAAATGCTAAATTGCAATTATTTTATTGTTAATGGCAAGAGCTTTTTGAAATTCTTTTCGAGGATGGAGAAAAGTTAAAAATAAGATTATGAGAGCGAATTTGTTAATTGTTTTCTTTTATATACACTATATATATTAATATATATGTATCTAACTATATTTATGTATTTTGTATGAAAAAATTTTTTTCTTTGTCGTTCAAAAAATTTATATAATAATAGAATTGTTAGCTTTTATCTTTTACAACCTTAATGGTATCACAAATTTTTTTAGTATTTACAATTATTATTATGATTCAATAACTGGTTTATACACTGGAATTAAAAACGATGCCCTGGAATCCTGTCTGGTTTTATTACTACTATCGTATTAGTGCTTTGCAACAAGTTAACCATATCTGGCTAGGCCTATATGTTGGAATTTGGGGCATGGGAAATAGAAAGGGGTCAACGTCAAAAATCATAATTTTGAGTTGACACCACATATACGTAACTTGTCACAAGGAATAATTTTAGAAACTATGCCCCACTTAATAAAATTTTCTACAAGTTTTTTTTTTTTAAAAATAGAAACAAGAGATTGACAATAGAAATTACAAAGATCGTGGTTTTGAATTGACAACATTTATATATGCAATTCATCACGACGAAAATTAATTAGTTGACTTTATTTTCCATTAAAAAGGTTAAAAAATAATAATATATAGAAATGCAGATCTTTCTCAAAATCGTATTTTGACGCATGCACCATTTGTTCAACGTCAATGTGATAGTGTGAGATCGTGTGATCAGAGGGGACCCCAAACAATCTTAAAAGGTGGTATATTTCAATTTTGGGCAGAAATGTCCTTCAAAATCGAAGTTATTCCTTAACTGGGATAAAATTTTCCGATATTTAGTTGTTCGGGGACCTATCAGAGTTCCTCGTAAATTAATTTTATATATATATCTTCTTCCATTTTTTTGTGCAGACAGAATTTTGGGGCTGATCATTAATACATCTCAGGGTTAATGCTAATTTTTTGATCTGAAGATCTCAGCCACAATCTAAGTACTCACATGAAAGCAGATGAAAAAACTTGAGCCATTTTGTAGATTTTAAGGGGCGCGTCATATATTAGCTGAGATGTTGGGGGGAGGGATCTAGAAAAGTCTCGAGTTTTACATTGTTAATATTAATATTAATGTGGCATGTCCCCAAAGATTCCCTGTCACTTTTTTAAAATTGAAATATATATAAGCCTTAGCCTTGAAGTAAAGATGTAACACCATTTTGAATAGTTGTGGTTTTAGCGAATTTTAAAAATAGCAACAATAAATAATAATACGGAAGACAATAAGACAAAATTATAAAAAAAATGTGACTAAACTAAGATGCAATTTTCAACCGATTTCCTTCATTATACTGTACTTTTTAATATATATCCACCAGACATATCATTGATAACGACAACGAAGTTGTTACCGCTACTGCTAATATCACCCTTGCAACCTTCAAATTTCCAACAGGGATAGGTGGAGACGACGTCAACAACAAAAGCAGTATAATAAAAAAACGTTGACATTATCGATTGATTCATAATGAGTTCCCAACAGGCATTCAAAGCGGGGGAAATTATTGAAGGTAGCAAATTTATTTTGTTAGTATTGCGTTATTCAGCAAGAAATCAATCATATAATTTTTCTAAATTATATATATTATCTGATTCTTTAATTTGTTGGATTCAAATTTCTCGCATATGCTTTTTTTTAAAATAAATTACAAGTGAGTTATTTTGCCTGCTAATTAATTTATCTTTTTTATATATGGTTGGGATCCATAATAATCATCTAATTCATTTTTTTTTTTTTAATAAATAATATCTTATTAGAAACAACTTAATGTTGAATTTTTCAAATAGTATTTGTAAACCAAGATTTGCCACAATAACTACAATACCTTAATTGTTTTAAATATGATTGAAGCCTCTATCAATTCTTTGGTAAGAATTTTGCTTGAGATGTAATTATTCAATTTTGGTTGCCAATTATTAACAAGATAACAACCTATGATTTCTTTGCATAGTCATTATTGAAGATTTTTTCAAAGGGTTTAATATCATTGTAGAACTCGTCAGAAGAAATTCCATACTATCTTATGAATCATAACTTGATTAAAATCACCATCATTCCATTTAACAACACCCTCGTTTAATTCAGCATCTTGAGCAATCTCCTTGAAGAATGAAATTCATGGATCTGAGCGTTGTTTTTCCATATTTATTCAGAGCCAATAAGAAACCACTTGTTATATATACAAGTTATTTCTATATATAAATTACTAATATAAAGGTTAATAGACTTAAATATTTTTGGTGAAGTGTTTTCATTTTCAAAAAAAAAAGATTTTCGCAAGCGTTTTTTAAACGAAACTCTAAAAAAAAAAATTGTAAATAAAAAAATTTTATTTCAATTTCAACTTGGAATTTTTTTTAATTTTAACTCGCGTTATTTGATGTAGATCATCATATGAATTCAATGATATAAAAACCTCAACCAATCATATTAAGCCAATTATTTTTCCAATAAATATAAAAAGGATTTATTTTTTATTTTCCTATATATGAATGAATATACATACATATATTTCAACAGAAAGAAATGGTTAAACACACAGTAATAGCTAGAATCTCTGATGGTACCTATTTTTTATTTTGTTTACTAATTATTACTACTTCCTTCCAATAAAAATGACCAATTTTTTTAATTAATAATCGTAAATTGTTTAAAAAGGCCTTCCGTTAGCAGCCTCAGTTGACGATGATCAGGTATTTGAATGTGAAGTTTTATTTAGATCTAGCATTTTATTTATAGGATTTCAATATATAATGATATTTTTCTATTAGTCTAATGAAGCAGAACTTGCAGATTATAAAAATAAAGCCAAACTTCTGTTTAAGAAAATGAATGAAAATTCTGAAGAACGATGTTCAATTGAATCAGGAAATTATGTTTTCCAGTAAGAAATCAAATTACTCATCGCTACTTATTATAACTAAACAATTATATAATTCATATTAATATATTTGGTTTTATCAAAAAAAAAATTAAGTTATCTTATTCAAAATGGAGTTTGTTATATGACAATTTGTGAAAGGTCATATCCACGTCAGTTTGCGTTTAGTTATTTGGAAGAACTTGCGAAAGAGTTTTTGATGAGTTATGGAAACGAAGTTGAGAAACGAACTTTGAGACCTTATGCATTTGTTAAATTTGGTAATTATGTTATATATATGTATTATAGATGTTATGCTTACGCTTATATAATCATATTCATTACATTGTTTGTTTTTTTTGTTTAATAGATACTTTTATGCAAAAAACTAAAAAAGTGTATCAAAACACTAGAACACAACATAACCTTGATCGATTAAATACAGAATTAAATGAAGTAGCTAATATAATGACTAAAAATTTGGAAAATGTCTTATGGAGAGGCGAAGGGCTAGAAAGTAATTATAATTTTTATTACCATTTTATTATCATCACTTTATCGTTATCATTATAGTATTATTATTACCATCATTATGACAATTATAATTATTTAATTTTGCGGATGCATAGAAATGAGTTCTTTATCTGATCAACTTCGTTACGAGTCTCAAAAATATAAAAAATCAGCAAGAGATCTTCATCTACAACTTCTTTACCGTAAATATGGACCTTTGGCATTTATAATTTTTATATTTGGAATAGTTATATATTGGAGATTTTTATGGTAATAAATGGATTGATTGAATAATTGATTAATGTGATAATTTTTATTTATCACAATTAAAAACCATATAAGAACATTATAAATAATAATTATATTAGACAAGAAAATAATCTATTATTATTTAAATCTAATAATAATTGACAAATAAAATTTTTCCCCCTTAGATGTTATTTCATTATTTTTTGTATTTTTATTTTATTTTATTACTTTGTATATTTAATATTTTACTATATATTATTATTATAAATGGATTTAAATAAGAATAAAAATGCAAAATTATCTTTTTTCTTAATTATATTTATTTTTTTTTTTTTTAAAAAAAAAAAATGATTTCTTTCCATTGATTTATTAAAAATCAAATTTTAAAAAGTTGCAAGGTCTCGCCGAGAATCGAACTCGGATCGCAGGATTCAAAGTCCTGAGTGATAACCATTACACCACGAGACCGATATATCGGCTTTTTACTGAAATAAAAATAACTATAGTTTAATAAGCATATTCATAAATAGAATAGTCGCATAACATTGTTTTAAGGGCCGGGAAAACTTTATTGAATGTTACCGCCAACACTATGATTCGAAAGTACTTTTAAAGAGAGCGAAGGTGGCCGCAACACTATAATTCGGGTTAGTAACGAATTAAATTTAAATCCAAAAAAGGAAAATCAGACTGAAAAAATGTCACCATAAGGACCAGGGCTGGAAATAGGGTCTGGAAAAAAAACGGAAATTCCTCCTGAATGCTAAGAATTTTCCGGAAGAAAAATTTAAAAAAAGGAAAATTTTTTGGGTGCTAAACTTTTTTTCAAATTTAAGAATTTTCTTTATTTTATACTTCTGTTTTTACTTTGAAGAAGATTACTAAGACATCACTAAAATCATAACATAATAAATCAGTACCTTCTAAACCAACCATCATTAATAAGTGCAATATGTCATTTTACATTGCATTACATAAATCTATTTTGTTTGCTAAAACTCTTTCACAATCTACACTAGAATGGAATTGAGTGCACTATTTCTATAAGTTTTAAAATATAAATAAGACTTGGAGGTTTGGAAATTGGAATATTTCCTTTTGCAATCCAGTAAATCATTTTCATTATATTAATTATATGTTTGTTACCATTAGTGGTTTTTTTTTGGAAGAATATTGCATGGTTATTCTAGAAGCAAAGAGCCATTATGTTGGTTTGAAAGTGCATGAGTTGCTAGAGTGGTAGATTTTGAAACACTCTTTGATCCCAAATAATAACATTATAATATTAGTAATTTAAGAATTGCAAAATGCAAAATTAATTATATTTATTTGTCACCTTTTCCTGCAAATAGATTTTTTTTCCCATGTGCTTTACAAATTGTGCAAAATATTCTCTTCATTGCTGCATCATATTTTAACCATTTATATATGTTTAGCCATTCATGCTTAAAACCTCTTCCTGATTTTTAAAATGCACTTTTTTATTTGACATTTTAATATGATTTGATTTTTTTGAAGTATCATCATCATCTGAGCCTTGAATTGTCAAATCATCTGAACCTTCTATATCTGTTTCATCAATATTTATTTTATCTATAAAATGCTTCACCCAAATTTCAGTAGCCAAATTATCTAATCCTTCTTATTCTATACTATTTATTTATAATTTATTTTTTTGAATAAGGGAAAACAAATACACATAAATTCATATTTAAGTGTATATATTTTTAAATTTAATAACTTAAAATTCAAAAGACACAAATTATGGTACTTTTCTAAAATATTGAAGTAATAACATACATATATGTATAGTATACATTATTTAATATAAAATTTTTTTATGTGGAAGGAAATCTGTACAAAAAAAAAAAATAAAATAAATAAAAGGAAAAATATCCAGCAACTCTTTTTTTTTCCGGAAGTTAAAATTTTTTAAAGGAAAATCCGGATTTTTAAAGTACTATTTCCAGCCCTGATAAGGACTATATACTTGCTAATACATTTTTAATTAGGCTTTGTAAATCATTACCTAAACAGAAAAAATACACAATCAGCTTTCGAAGTTCGCCTTAATATGATCAGATGCACTTAGTTTGCCGGTCATGAGTTTTCCTGGTTAACATCACAACTGTACCAAATATTTTAACCCATTTTTATCTTTAAATATAAATTATTTATTTTCTTTGCAGTATTATCAGGTTTATTTTCAGAGCTATTATTACCAATAATTAATTAAGTCAGCATATTTCTTCCTATGTAGAATAACATGGTCTAGTCTTATTCATTTGATCTGTTTATTCATTACATCAAAGAAATAATTTATTCTCTCTTCATGGGTAAGTTTCAGACCCTAGTGGTCCTCCCTATGGTGCTTTGATTTTCTAGCTATACTAACTATACATACATGTGGTAGAAATAAGTTGATCACTTGACTCAATCAGGTGACTTTTTGATGCAGTCATATGAAAAACAAATAATTGTGTCAGACACAATTAAAAATTGAGGTTTTGAGAATTGAGTCAAAGCCGAATTAATTTTGACAACATGTATAAATCCTAACATCATCATTCATAAAGCTCTTCAGATCCAATGAACCCTTCAACTAATATAAAATCTGCTGGCTTTTTTGGTTCAGTAGCATTATCATAAAAAGTTAGTCCAATGGTCGCACCCCTTTTACCTCCAACAGTTCCTTTTCTCAAAAGTCTATCAATTTTGTTTCTTGGCGGATAGATGCTTTGGGATTATCCTAATCAATGGGAGCTTTAATTGTTTTGCAAAGATGATCAGTGGTAATGGAAAACATTCTTTTTTGCAAATCCTCAGAAATACATTTGATCAAGTTTCTCCACCAACCATTATTAATATTGGTTTATTCTTTTCTGAACAACATGTGCACTAATTTGGACACACTACTACTATTTAATAATTCAACACTTATTTAAAAATATAGAGTTCTTGAGTTCTATACTTTGTTTAAATTTAGTAGGTCTTTACTTTGCTATGTTGTCATAGTTGTGTATATGCTACAGTACACAAAAATTAGCCAATTTATTAGTTTTCTCCCCTTTATTGTTAAGAATATAATTCTTTTGTCCAACTGGTTTTTTAATAATTCTTCAACAACACAGATAGTAAAACATATAAATATTGCCCAGTCAGATAGGTGGAAGAGTCTTTTAGAATACTCGCAATATTGCAAAAATTACAATGTTTCAGCTAGTGTTGGTCGCCAAAACTATTTCGAAGAGGCGAAAGTCAAAACTAAAATTCAAAGTTATATGTCAATACTACTAAATCAAAAGTCAATAGTCAAAAATCAAAATTAGTTTCGACTTATGGCGAAACCTTTTGACTTTCGCATGATTGCAAAGCTCTAATTTTGGAAACCAATACTAGTTTCTGCCAGCAAATTTGCAGAACATAAATTTTATGTTAATTGTATTTGACATACATACTGCAACAAACACTAAAGATAATGATAAAAGCTCTTGCTGCTTCGATTTAAGATCTATACAACTATCATGTGTTGAGATAAGACTAGGGTTTTACTAGTTCGGTTCGGTTTCGGTCCAAGACCACTGGTTTAAAAGACTGGTTAAAGACCAGTTAAAGTAAAATTTCTTCATTATTTAATGTAATAATCATGAATTTTATTATTTTGCATCCATGAATTTAAAATATAATTGCGATTATTTAACTCACGTGACATTAAATCACTTGTTGAATTATTGGCAGAAGAGAGATTTGAGTTGCCTGTGTTTGGATAGAATTAATCAATTTAAAAAGTTTTTCGAAATCCAAAATCGAAAATTCGAATAGAAATCAAAGATAGTTCGAAATTGATTAAAATGGCATCATATCACCTTTGTGAATCTGGTAAATAAAGATTCCGAGTTGCCAATTTTGAGAATTATTGCAAGTTTCTTTATTGAATTTCTCAACACACCTATTGAAATTATCATGTAGTTATCCGCAAAAAATATCGCAATCACCAAATCGATTTCTAAATAAGGATAACACGCACCCAACCCGCCAATAAAATTGGATATTCTCATAATGCTGCGGATATTTTTGCGTACATGATTATCATTTTGGAAAGCGCTCCATGTTTTTGATACATATATATCTTTAAGATTCAGTTTTTAATGCAGTATGATACTGAAGATCACACCACTTCTGTGAATTTCCCATAGTAAAAGTAAATCCCCAGTAGGAAGGAAAGCTTACATGACCCAGGATATAATAGTATATATATATATATCTTACAAACGGATTTACCTTATTTTAAAAATATATAGAAGATTTATAGTGATTGCACCACCAAGGCCAGATCTTCATATAGTATAGTTTACGAAGCGAAAGAACAGACATCTAGTGAAGGGTATATGGAGAGCACACGCATTAAGGCATGTATCATAAAACGTTAGCCATGCATTAGATTCTATTCTCAGAAAAATGACAAGGACTTTGATCAAGTAGAAAGATAAATAGTTCTAACCCACGTGTTCGAGTAAATTGATTATGACATAGGCGTATAAAATCAGGGCATCATATAGTTCAGCTAATGGTATTGTGTCCTAAAATGGAACTGCTGAGAAATGGCCCATGTGCTAAATAAATGTACAAATAGAGGAAAAATTTAAAAAAATTTTTAAGAAAAATATATAAAAACTTGTGTTGACTGATTCCCTATTGCAGAGATGGAAACAGAAATCAAAAAAATAGACTTAAATTAAAATTGATTTAGTTCTACGAATAATGATTTAGTCATGATTAATTAAAAAAAAAAAAACAAAAAAATTAAATAGATTATTCGACTTATTAAACAAATTAATTAATAAAAGCAATTTTGACGTTAGAAGTACTATTTTATAATATAAATTGTGCCAGTTGTAAATATAATTTATTTTGAAACAATAAATGAAATAGAAAATCTCTTGGTTGAGATGAAATAAATAGAAAAGTATTAGAAGATTAATTGATAAATATGGAAATGAAGAATCATCTAGATTTCTTTATCGATGTAAACTAAATGCAAAAAACAATCATTATATTAAATTGATTTTATATAATGAATTTAGGAATAAAGTAACTCGGGTTATCCTTATGGTGTCATATTAAAAAAGAATATATAATTCCGGTGATAAATTTTAGATATTTTAAAGGGTTGATATTTATTGATTATCACTTAATATTAATATAGCAATTCTAATCGAATAAGGTTTTATTCGAATTATTTGTTTTGTCGTTATGAATTGAGTATTCGAATTACATTGAAAGTTTATTCGAATAAAACAAATAGAACGAATAATTAGAATAAGAATTTGTGTTACGTGTAGAAACTCTATATGGAAGTAAATAATATATCAAGTATTATCCATTACTACTAAAGTATTATTACTGCTATACTTGAATAGGTAGGTTATTACTGTGATGCAATTATTCTAGGTTCCAAAGTTTTGAAGTAAATGTGCTTGCCTTTTTTTCGGGTGAAATGTTAGTTGTAAACTCATCAACATATCTCGTTATCGTCCTCTTCTTCTTATTCCGTCAATCCTTGTGCTATTTCCTGTTCAGGTTTACAATTGTTCTTGAACTATTTGCGACAACAAGGTCCAATACATTTTTGCTGGTTCCCTTTCATTCTGTAGAAGTAAAATAATATTAAAAACACTGCTTTCGAATTATAAATCAATTAAAGTAAAAAGAAAGTATGCGTAAAATTTAAGTTTGCGTCAATCTTAATTATATTGGCACGTTTTAAATTTCACATAAAATTGTCGATTCAAGCCCAATAAGAAATTTCCCTAGATATCAAAATTAATTGACTCTCTTGAATTATGAACATGATATTTACCCTCCTAGTAAGAAAACAACAGAAATTCATTTGATATAAACATCGAGTTTTATTATATCTGTGAGATGTGTGTCGTCGACTTTGATTTGATTGCCCAATAAACTATGCTACATTTTTATACATATTACAAATATTCAATACTTACATTTGATAAAGCAATTGCAGGTACCTTTTTGGTACAGCAACCTTCAAGTCGGGAAAATGCACCAATAAAGTTGATTTTACGTTTAGCAAATTTAAAGGTGTAATGTAACCCTTATACAGCTAATAAGTACAGTACCCAAAAGGATTATATTTTGGATTATTAGTTTTTATTGATGTATTCAACATATGTTTCTTATAATTAATTAAAGAATTGTGTTCATATTTTTATTGGACATCGAGGAGTCGAATTATTCTTTGTTCGAAAACGCGTGGAGAGAAACCCTTTCAAGTAATCCTATTAAATCAGGGAAATGATTTTCTGAAAACCGCAGAAATACATGACTCACGTAACAGCATTTTTGATTGGCGGTGTGGCGCAAAAAAGTTGTGACTTACACCATATCGCGTAACATATACTAATCGCCAATCAAAATTCGAAAACTTAGTCATGCGAGTAAAATATCACGTGAAACTAAGGTTGCTTAATGACTGCGAAACTCCATTAATTGTCAAATACCCCAAATGCGAAACTCTAATAAACAATTAGTGTATAACCTACTGAAATTCTGCCAATTGATTTTTGGTGGAGTTTTGGCAAACAACCATACATGAAGCTGACTTGATTATTTAATATGGTATGGAATCAAAGGTTTCACTAAGCCTATTCATGAATTATATGATGTTCCGCCATGAACAATCTGTGAGTGTTACCAATATAAATTCAACCAAGCATTCTAATATAAAAAGAACAAAGAATCAAGAATTAATTAATTCGTTTTAAAAACAATAATTTTTTTTATTCGTGTTTAGTAATTTAACCACTGGAATGGTTTTGTAACATAATGTTCACTTTATCTACTTTGTCTGATTTTTGTTACTGTACAATCACTCTTGTATAATTGAGCCAAACATAACAAATATCAATTAATAATTAATAATATATATAATCAGTTTTATTTCAATTTATATTATAATTACATCCCCCGTAAGTATGAGGTAAATATATGTACAGAGGGTGATCACGGGTTTCCGAACGATAAGTATTTTTTATTTTTTTTTGCTTTGTTTACATCATTTACGCGTATATTTCTAATTTAAGCATTTATTTAGCATGTAGATCATAACAATAACAATAATTCACAAATACAAATGGGTAAA